AAAAAAAAGGAAAACCCACAAGAAGAGTATGGTGTCGTACTCGATTTATCGTTATGAACTCTTAGTAGTACAACTTAGTATCCACAATCATCTTGGAAGAACGTTTCTGAAAATCAACTGGTCAAATCTTTTCCTTTGACCTTTCCAAAGTCAAACAAAATGTCAAGTGAATTTGGATGCTATAGTCGATGCTAGTTCTCTTCCTCACTTTTATTTTATTTCCTGAATCAAATGGTTGTGGAACGAATAGATTTGTAGAATTTGGATAAAAATAATTTAATAAACATGTCTACAAAGGGAGAAGAAGAGTTATGTCTTCCACATGCTTGATAAAATGCTCAAAAGAGAAGTTACTTTTTTGCGCTAGACGCAATCTCACACCCAATTCCAACACAGCTTCATCAAACTACATCAACATGGGGACGATTCTTCCTCTATAATATTATAATTAATTTGTTATAATTAAATAACTTTCATCAAACAATAAACCCGATTACCCATTCCCGTTATTCTTACTCCCTGATCCTAAATGATAATCTCAAAGGATCTATTCTAAAGAATCTCTAAGTGAACAATGTTGTCTCGGGGATTCTTTAGCATTATGTGCTAATAAGGCAATCATGGGGTGAATGGAGTACCCACATGAATAATCCATTCATACATACAGTTCACAGTCCTAACTGTATGAGGTTCCTCAACATCTACAGGCTGGAGACCTGCCCATGTATAATTTAGTAACACCTACAGTTCGTAGACCTATCAGCATACGATTCATCAATGCCTACAAGTCGTAGACCTACCCGCAAAACGATTTATTAACACCTACAAGATGTAAACTTGCCCGTGAATTATGGATTAACACTACAGGTTGTGTACCTGTCTGTGTATGGCTTATAAGCATCTACAGGTTGGAAGTCTGTCCATGTTTGACCCGACTTGTCTAGAATATTTTGTGGTCAATATCAATACCCTACTAGGTAACTACATTACAAGTTTGGTAGTACTATAAAAGTCTCGGCCTCTCTTCATTATTTTCATATCTCTTTACCCTCTACTACCCCATATGTTATATGTATAAAAATATATATATGGTTAAATAAAATCAACTTATATAGTTTCATCTAACACAGAAAGTCTTAATCACAGATAATAGCATATATAGCACTTAATTATCTGAAATACTTCTGACGTGACCTAGGTTTCGCATTACTAAGTCTTAGTCTTATATTCCTGGCGACTAATGATAGTCTAGATTTCCTCACTAATCCAAATCTCTACATCAAGATCTATCAAGTAAGGAACAACCAGGTAGGGTCATATCGGATGTAGGGTCCGTTTGGTATATAAAGTATACTGTTTAAAAATCTCACTTTAAACACCGCAATAAATCCAACCTAGACATCATCCCCGTAAGTAGATCAACCAGTATAATGACGTTGGATATAATTAAAAGTTACACTTGAATAAAATAAGTGTAGCTTAACTTACAGAGCTTTCTGATGAAAACCGAGAATTATGTGGGCAGACATCTGATCCGGGAGCTTCTATTCTCCAGCTATCTAACACCGTTGGGATTCTAGGGATCTCAAGGATTCGCCGAAGACTAAAGTTGAGGGAAATCTATAGCTAAAGCGGGGAGAGCTTGAGAGAGAAACGTAGGGAAGGTGTGAAATTCGAATGAGACACTACATTGTATTTATAGCCAAACTCGAAGCACATGCCGCGCGCTTGGTCGGTCCGCATCGTGCTTTTGGTCAGACCAGGTGATGCGGCTCCAGCAGTCGCGTGACACATGGCAGATAACAGTGCGCGTCGCATGATGTGTCGTTGCGCGAGCGCACGCGAGGATTTTCCATTTCTTTAAAAAATTAATATCTTTTTCATATGAGCTTTGTTTTCGACACGTTTTATATCGACATGTAGCTATCGACGAGATCGACAACTTTCATTTACACTCTGTCGGCTAGTTTTGAATATATTTTTAAAGTTATATTTTTAACAGGTTTAGACTGTTCAAGTCCATTAAAAGTTCATAACTCTCTCATATGATATCCGTTCTCGACTATCTTTATATCGACGAATAGGTGTTGACAAGATATTCAACTCCCGTTTATATTGTTTTTCCTAACAATCGACCGATTTTGGTTTTGGTTTCTGAGTCGTACACTGTTATGCTGAAACTTCTAAAAATCACAGCTTACTCTCATGAAGTTAGATTTAGGTGTTCTTTATATGTACGGAATCCTTATCACATATACTATAACTTTGGTTAAAATTATTTATCCTAAAAAAATATTATATCAAAAAGTCATTTTTAACCTTTATAATATTTTAATTGACTAGCCCGAATCTGCGGACGTTACACTTAACATCCCAAGGAAGCCATGCACGTTTTCATGATGATCATACAATTGCTTTATATCATTGGAAGTAGGGTAACACAAATAACATGGACCGTACAACCTCATCACATAATTGCAAAATTTATGAAGACTTTCATGTATGGTGCGTATGGACATCCTAACACTATCATTTAGTACAACGGGTGGGGTGTCAAATGCTAACATACGAATTACAGTTGTGTATTTTTGTAAACGATGAAATCCAACCATACCTCTTACATATGAACGTTGTTGAGAAAATATGCATGCTTCCGTCACTTCATGTACTATACACTTAAACAAATTGTTTTGCATTTGGAACCGATACAAAAATGGTAACCTTGAAAAATGGCATGCTCATCAAAATAAACATGCATCAAAAGTTGGTGGGCCGATTCATGATCTCTTTATATATATCTTCTTTGTCTCCGTTATGCATGTCATGCTTCCTCATCTAACTCTTGTTGTACCGAATTAGCAACGGTGATTGCGACTTGTAGACAGAAATCTAATTCATCGGAAGAGGATGAAGATGATGAAGACATTTTTTAGAGATGAATGGTTTGTTGTGGTGTAAAATATGATGGATTTAGGTTGTATTTATAGTTATATAAAATTGAAAAAAGAAGTCACAAAAATAGTTGTTGGACCCTCCAGTCTTACTCTCTCTCATCGACAATTGAATGTCGTAGAAACATCCCATGCTCGGCATGCCGGCAATGATGGGTGGTGTACGTCGTGCAAGCCGAGCAAATGTTGACATACGCGCCGAGTCACTCCGTTGAGTCTTACACACTCGACTTTGTAGGTGGCAAAGGGTAACATGATTACCTCTTCACTCTTTCAGAATAACCATTTTACCCAAAAATTCTAGTTTGTTCCTTTACAAATCCAAATAAATGTGAGGGGCAATTTAAATCACAACATGAAAATTTAAAGGGTCTTTGTGACATTACCCAATTATGTTGTTATTAATTTATAGGGAAAATATCATATTAGCCAATGAACTTGTCATATTTGTTTTAAAAGTCATCCATTTATTTTTTTTGGTACAAAAAGGGAATAAATTATAAAGTGACCGGTTGAAAGGCTCCTTTGACCCTTGATAAAAAGTTTCACTTCCAAATCAGAAAAGAACCAGTGACTTGAAACAATCTGGCCTAACAGTCATCTCTGTTTTTTTATTCATTCTTCAATCCATGAAAACGGTGAAAGAAACTGATCAAATTCAAATCCATAATCATCATAAAGATAGGAACATGTTTATTAGTGTTGTTTGGAAATGTTTGGAAAATTGTGAAAGAATCTGCCTTCTATTTTATGTTCTCTAATTACTATTTTCCGATTCTTTCCTTCCTCCATTCGAGATCTGAGATCTCAGAGGGTGTGCCTCCTTTCCACCACCTTCCACCGCTATCAAATTGAACAAAACGATATGGGGATTGAAATTTACACTTTTGATTACTCCTAATTAACCAGTTTCAAAACAATACACACAATATATCTACAAGAGCACACAGATAGAAAAAAAAAACCTAAAGTAAAACAACCTATGTTTAGGATATGGCGATTGAAGATGTAGAAAATTCCTTACAACACTCCTTTGTCTTCCAAGCAGGTTTTCGAGAGGTTTACTTCTCGTAGACTCTGATTCTGATCTAGAACCCACCAGAATTCTGCCCCTTTTGATCCGATGGGGTGGCGGAGATCGCGCTCTAATAAAAAATGGTTAAGAGCTTCAATGTCGAATTTGCTTCGATCATTTTCAAGGGTTCTTCTCCTCCTTTTGGTCCGATTAAATCTTCCTATATTAAACCTAAATGAAAATATGGCATTTTTTTGAGTTACGTGGCCCACAAAAATGGTGTTTTAAACATTTGACATTGGACTTTATTCCCCTTAAGGAGAAAAAAAATTTAGTGAGCTTTTAAAACAAAAATGAAAAGTTCGTTAGTTAGGCTAATATGATATTTTTTCTAATTTCTTTTGTGGTACATATTCTAATTTTATTGATAAATTACATGTATTTTATTATGACGTTTTTAATTATCATCACATATTTGAATTTTTATATTTTTATCGGTAGAATTGTCAAACATTTTTTATGATAATACATAATAATTTAAACAAAAAAAAATGAAAAATACGTAAATTTGTTGTTAGAAAATCAAATTTTGAATAAACTACGTTTACGGTAATTCAATACATTAGATAGATTTTAGATTGTAAGATTGCGTCAATGCTACAAGGTTGAAGAGGTGATCGGTAGAATCTACTTAGTTTTGTATCGATGCAATTAAGCCTCGTTTATTTTAACATCCTAGCTCTTACTTATAACATCGCCACTACTTTGCCACCCAAATCCCCTTCACCCAAACCGAAGCCTCCCGGCCCGGCCCTCTCATGGCTATTTGGCGGAAACCTCTCGATTCCAATGGTAATGCTAGCCACTAATTATGAGCATATGAACCAAAAACATAGTTCAAGCCATTTACATGTGATATGTAATCAACAAAAGGGCAAAGCTAACCATTAAAAATAAAAATATGCGAAAGTCTCTTCTTTATTAATTGATTAATAGCTAAAATGAATATGAATATATAATTGAATTTCATAACTCAACCAAAACTAATTAAATACATATGGAGGTCCAATGTAATATAGAATAGCAGATAAAAGATACTCCTTATGCCAATTTGCATTCTGGAGGAAACCCTTGAGGAAATCTTTTGGAATCTGAGCAGTAATTATAGATCATGTAATTCTTCTGCGCCCATCTTAACCTCTCCTGCTTTGTGTTGTCCAACTCCTCAGATAGCCATGCCTGATTGCCAGCGGAAGATGCAGAGCCACCGCATGACGATTTCCCAGAAGACACCACACACGCATCGGCCCTAAAGTTTCTGTAGGAAGCAGTGAAAGGAGCTTGAGTCCAATCGGTCTCCACCAACCCACCCCTGGTCGCCCAATCGTCAGCATTCCATAAGCTAGAGTGTATTCTCATGGGCTGATTTTTAGGAAATGGTACCCCAATGGATTCCGCATTCTTGAACTCCCTAATGGGTGTTCCATCAACAGAAAATCTGAAAATCGACAATGGTAAGATCAGTAAAAGATGTTGACGTATAGAAGCATTGACCAAGATGGGATATATTGCATGTAGCAATACTATAAACACATGATGATACTTACATAATGCGTTGAGGGTTCCAAAGGATGGAATAGGTGTGGAAATCAGCAGTTGGATCGAACCACAGGTAGAATTGTTGTTCTCTGTTGCCTTTGCCTTGGCTAAAGACATTTGTATGGAGAATGTAGGGATCACCACTCAAGTTACCCAGGAACTCAAAGTCGATCTCATCCCAGTTCGACCCTTTTGAAGACAACTGCAAATATAATCATAACATGCATATTCAGTATTACAAACTATATTCCAGTTTACCAAATCCAAATAATGCAGCGGATAGCAAGAAACGTACGTAGTAGGCAGTGACAGTGCCGGCGGAGTTAACGGAACCAGCTTCAGCTGCATATCAATCTTGCCAAACAGGTACTCGTTTCTTGATTCAAAGCCAGAACCAGATGATTTGTCGAGGGAGAGCGTTAAGAGCTCTCCGTTGAGTATTTTACCACGTCCATCACCCCAAGTGATATCAAACTCATTGTTGAAATCTGCGGAGACTATTGAAGTGATCCCTACAAATAAGATGACTAGGAAGAAAGTCGAAAGCTTTGAGGTTCTAGAAAACGCCATTTTATGCAGAGGAAGGTGTTGTTAGTAAGTTGAAGATAAAGGCATGAATTGTGTCGTATTTATAGGATTGGTGTTTGGAGATTAAAGGAAGGTCATGAAGAAAGTGAGAGTGTCAGTACCAGTTTAGTGAAGTTAGGTCGGTGAGGAGCTTTTGACCTCAAAACAGCTGGTATAATAAGCGTGTGGCAAAAAGAGACTGTGGTCTGTGGATTATATTTAAAAATAAACTGTAGAGCATTTATTTGATTTTGCTTTTAGTGACGGATTTTTGTCGGCCAAAGACGCGGTTTCTGAATAAATTTGCCTAATTGATTTTAAACCGACATTCTTTCTCCTTGAAAAATAATTATATATTTTTACCTCGCATCGTATTTTAAGGATTTAGAACATCCATCCATAACCTATAAGAGTTGGTATTTCTAATTGGCATTTAATTAATTAAACTCTATCATTGTGTGATGTCATGTTGACATTCAATAGATATGTAGTTTAATGACTATTGAACTCTTCAATGAAAAAAAAAATCTTTTAACTATTAAATATATATTTCATTAAACTTTATTGGATTCAATACATTGTAAGAAAATTAATATAAAGTTGTATAGTAAGAAAAATTATGATGTGTCAATCAATTAAACTTTAATAAATTTAATTCATTGCGGATACCTTTATAAAATACCTCTTATTGTTATTTTAGTGTCTGTTGTAGCTTTTGAAGCAATTTCAAATTAATTTAGAGTTCTATTAAATTATTTGTTTTTAATTTTTTATATTTAATTTTATTTATTATACCTCTTATTATTTATTGCACCATCTTTGATTTTTTTTTACATACTTGTTGTTCATTTTGTCATTTATTGTCTATATATATATATATATATATATATATATATATATATATATATTGTACAAAATAAAATTTAAAAAGTACATTCTAAAAATAATTATGTTATTTATATTAACTTTAAAATAACAGTTTATTATATTAATTTGTTATATAAAATTGTACTAAATTTGAATAATATTATAACATCTATTAAAATTATAGAAAAAACATCATAAATGGTCCCTGTGGTTTCCCAAAATCTGAAGTATAGTACCCGTGGTTTAGAAACGTCATAGATGGTCCATGTATTTTCAAAACTTTTGACGATTGGTCCTTATTGCTAACTCCGTTAAGTTTTGTCCGTTAACTAGAAGGGCATTTTCGTCATTTCAAACCATAGGGACCATTTATGATGTTTTTTCGTATTTTTTTAAAAAAGAAAAAATTAAATATAATTAAATATAAAAGGTCACTTCCCCACCCCTTCTTCTTCTTCTTCCTTATCTGCACCACCATTCTCTAATATTCTCTTTGTTTTAGTATCTTCACCTCAATCCCCATTAATGAATAACTCCATCTGACATAAGATAAATAACTCCATCTGACATAAGCGTACACTTGAAATGTTTCAACAAATTATTCACAAGGAAGGGATTCATTACCACATTGTAGAATCCAACGGTAACAACTCAGCAGACACCTCTGATCGGTTGATTTCTATCCCTTCTATCATGGAATCCAATACGGTGAATGTCGTATTCACCCACTTTTCTTTCCTCTAAGTTCTAATCGAACCTCTTTCACCCTTGACCTCGTTGGTTTCCTAACCCTAATTTGAGGAGTAATGCTGACTATGATTGTTAATTTCCCTCATATTTGGGTGATGACTTTCAATCGAAGGGGTGGGGACATTGTTTTGAAGCAACCTGGTCCAGGTAAGTTACCCAAATATAAACATGGTGCTGACTATTCTTAACACGATTTTCCAGGGATTTGTATCTTTTCTGATTTCCATGATGATTTTGAACCGCCAGAAGACAACCGTAACACCACCCTTCTTTCTCCATTGTAAGATCCTCATCAAACCATAAAACATAATCCATGTTCATTTTTTTAACCCAAACCAGAAAACCAATAAAAATGTCACCTATATGAGAGAGAGGGGAGAGTGCAACCTCCTTTTTACCCTTGTTTCTAATTTCTGACTGATGATTGAAGAAAAAAGGGGGAGACTTTGTGCAATTTTGAGAAGAAAAGAGAAAGAGGGATTTGATTTCTTTGTGTATGTGGTGTACGAGACACACATACAGAGTGAGAGAGAAGAATACTTGTTTTTTTAGAGAGAATGGTGTAGTGCAGTCAATCAATCATGGAGGAGTTTCGAGGCCATGAGGTTTTCCAGAAGCTGTTCATGTTCAACAACCTGTTCGATTTGGTGGGTATTTCGGATCTTCGTTTCTTCACTATGTACCTATTTATTTGACATGGATTATTGGGGAGAGAGAGAGAGAGAGAGAGAGAGAGAGAGACAGAGAGAGAGATTATATATTAAATAATTATATTTAGTTTTTTCTTTTTTTTTTAAATAACTGAAAAGATCATAAATGATCCCTGTGGTGTGAAATGACGAAAATGTCTTTCCGTTAACGGATAAAACTTAACGGAGTTAGCAATAAGGAGCAATCGTCAAAAGTTTTGAAAGCACAGGGACCATCTATGACGTTTCTAAACCACGAGTATTATACTTCAGATTTTGGGAAACCACAAGGACCATTTATGATGTTGTTTTCAAAATTATATTATTTATGGTCATTAGTCGTAGCTGACGTGTGAATAAAACTAAATATAACTTTTAATTTAATTTTGCTTTTAACGTTATGATTAATTATAATTAATTTTAACTAATTTAAAAACCATTTAATTAAAAATATTAGTTATTAAAAAAATAGTTTCGAATGTTTTAGTTAATTTGACATGTCGATATAATTTTATATTAAAACATTTAAATGTTTTAAACTATTACAAAAAATATATATGAATATTTTCTAAGTTTATTTAATATTTTGATTTATATTTTGAATTTAACATGATATTTAAATTAATATTTTAAGAATATTATATTGATATCTCAAACAATATATTCAATTAATGATAATATTTAACATTTATTAACACATGTAAATTAATAAAGTAGATATATTATCATGTATAAAGAATTTAGAGGTTTAAATTTTTCTGATGAAAGAAAAAAAAATCTCATTAATAGTATATAGTATAGATATATACATATATTATTATTATTATTATTATTATTATTATTATTATATAATACTAATACTATTATTAATTATTGTATAATAACAATAATAATAATAATAATAATAACAATAATAATTTGTATTATAGTAAAACTCGTTCGAATTTATATAATGAGTTATTACCGCACAACATATAATACTTGTTGATTTATGAAGACTTAAACAAAAGAAATTTATTGAATTAAACACTTCTTTTTATATTGCAAAGAATACGAATAATACTTGTTGATTTATGAAGACTTATTATATCAAACACTTCTTTTTATATTGCAAAGAAGCATGGTGTTACTGTTAAGAAAATAAGGTTAGTCAAAGTGTTTCCTGCTAAGTGTTGGTAGTTATTAATATCGTCATTGTTCATGGTGGTCATTTTGTTTTAAAAACCATATCAAAATCCATAAATCATACAAATCATAGTTTTGAAAAGTCATAATAAAAAATCAGAGTATCCCAAAATCATAAATCAACTAAATATCATGGATGATGTGCAGAATCATACATTTGCCTTGCCCCTGTCCTCTGATGTACCTGAGACCATAAAATCAAACTGTAAGACAAAGATTAGTGAGTTCCTCCAAAGTACCACACACAACAGAACATATACAAACATTGAATACTGGGTCCACAGCTTCCGACTGGATTATCCCTAGCCCACAGTCTCCCGAAACCGTGATGGCGGAATCGTTCCGGGGTGGAGGACGTCATGCGTAGTATCACAACAATTCTATCATAGCAAGCATAGTAAACACAACCAGACATTTAATACATATATGAAAGAGGTTTACATTGTTTTAATACATAGTTTTGTTCATATCAAAAGCAAAATAGAAAGACGTGACTCTAACACTTCGACTTCTCCGAGCTCCTGGAAGTACATGTTTACTAATTCCCTGAGAATACAAGCAGTTTTGAAAGAGTATCAGCATAAAGCTGGTGAGTTCATAAGCATTTAGTTTTGATGGAAAAATGTTCTTTGATTCTTTTGAAAAGTGTTCCTCAAGAAAATCCTATATTTTCTTATGAAAAGCATGTTTGAAAGCCCATTCCTTCCATGTCTTCCAGATTCATACATGACATGTATAATTCAAGGAGTCATGGAATGAATGTCCGTTGGTAGAGTAGTGAACCATCAGTTTTAGAAAAGCCGGTGTTAATCCGGGAAAATCCTATATTTTCTCTAAAACAAGATATCCATCCTAGAGGTAGAGATGCAAGTTTAGAGAACCCTGATTTCTATCAGTATATATAAAAGTAGTTTTATTACTGAAAATAAAACAAGCGAAGAATAGAGTCCGTAAACAAAATTAGTTTATACTTATTTTGTGAGTCGTATAACCATACTTGATATGACCGAGAGACCTTTATAACGTTCTTCAGGCGTTAAGCTAAATGACATTTGTTCACCACAGGCGTGCCCGCCTAACTGTAGCTAGCAGTTCTGGTGTGGGATTGTCAGTCCCGAATAGATCTATTCACAAATCTCACGCTTTCCCTCCAGGAGACTCTGGTTATACTAAAAGGATTTATCACTATACACCTAAGGGTACAGTATTGAAATAGCGCCTCACAATTCTGTATAATCTAGTTTACTAGCGAGAAATCAGTATAAAACAGTAATTATCCTTGAATAAATGTACTTTATACTTCTGAGAAAACATATAACATAAACTAAATCTGCCATAGTTTATATATATTCATTTATGAAATCTGATTAGGTAGAGACTGCCTAGAGGGTTATCCCAAACTATACCCATTATAGTTTATTAGAGTTGATATAGAGCTGCTTTATAAAAACCTTTCTGAAAGCTATGAAGTTAGATTTCCAAAATAGTAGTTTCCCTTATGCTAAACATATT